ATCTGGGCCACCTAACATAAAAAAAAATCATTTTCCATTTTTCAATTCTTCTTCTTTATTATTGTTGTGGTGCAACAAAACTCAAATTTTACGATATGTGTGGTTATGCATATTATAAGTATCCTTCCCTTCCATTTCCTTACATTTTTTTTTTGTGGTGAAGGTTTTTTTCAATCAAATTGAAAGATTCCCTTATTGGCAGCGGATGTAAATAATTGAGGTCGATGTTTTATATCTTTATTCTATTATTTAATTTAAAGTTATGGTTTTCAATTATATATAATATAGGAATATCTCCATTGAGTAGATTGTTTATGTTCGTGGTTCATAATAAAAATTTGGATTTTAAAATTGAAGTAGAATGTTGTATTTATTTTTTATAACTTGATAATTATACGAATTAAATTAATTTAGATTGTACGATTAAATATTATAAATTATTTCAAATTATTATTTAAGAATAATTAAAATAATTATTTATTTTAATTCTTAAGAGTGTGTGTATAAATGCCTGTATGTCGGTTTGTTTGAGTATCTATCACCGTGTATCAATTATATTTGTCTGCGTGTAGATCTTTATGTACGTGTTTTCTTAAATTATCCTATAAAATGTAAAAGTGATACCGTAAAATGTAAAATTATTTACAATTTTTAAGACATAGGTAAGGTTAATAGTAGAAATAAAATATTTTAAATTGTTTGAAATCATTTTAGTTGAATTTCAAATATATGTATATTTAAATAATATTTCTTTATTTTTTTCGTAATATTATTTATATTTAAAATTATATTCAAGTATGAATTGAATGTATATAAATGAAAACACGCTGTCTTTAATGGCCTAAAAAGAAAAACAGTGACGCAGCTAATATTGAAAGAAACACAAGTATACATAATTAAAAATACACTCAAATTTACTCAATTGCTGAATTTTTCATACTTCTTACATACAAATAAAATATCAAGATTATGCAGTAGTTTTACATGAAACTAAAAAAAAAAAAGAGAAACTCTAATCCTTTACACCATGATACCCTCAGTAGCTTGACCAGCTATCCCCCAGTTTAAATCATTACAACAAACGGGGAAAAGAGAAATACAGCATTTTTCTTTTGTATTCAACTCAGTAGTAACAAAATTAGACAATGACACAGCCATTAGGATCCTCTTCCGCACTTATGGCGCTGTAATACGGATTGTACTGTGGTTTCATCTGATAATAGTAACCATACGTTTGGTAGAATTTGAGTGGGTCTAGAACAATTTCTTTTGTAGAATCTTTCTTTTCTTCTTCCTTCTTTTTATCATCCTTTTTAGGTTCTTCTTTCTTTTCCTCTTTTGCAGGTCCAACAGAAACTATGTCAGCGTGACAGAACTTCCTTAGCTTGGCAACTACTTGTACTGGATCAATGTCCCCGATTAAGGTCAATTTCTTTTCTTTCATGTCCACAGAAACTGACTCCACACCTGCAACAGTATTTCAAATACAATTTTAGTAATTGAGTCATTCATGCTATATTCTTTCGACTTTATTTCTTTAAATAAAAACCAGTTTCAGTAATTGAGTCATTTTGATTTTCTCGCTTTTGTCCTCTCAAGTTTTTCAGCACTGAAAACAGAGAAGCCAAAGAGACGAGGAATTTCAAAAGTTGAATAAGTTCAATTAAATACCTGAAATGCCAGAGACAGCCTTCATAGCCTTTTGCTTGATTTTATCTTCATTTACATCCACCTTCAACACAACTTTCTGTTACAGCAAATCAAACATTTGTTAGGACTGTTCAACACTCTAACTTTGGAAGTTCATAAAGACCATAAAAGATGAAAACAGAACACAGACTGAATTACGAGAATCGAACTGTGAATATCAAAGAAGAATTATGAGCTGAAATTGGAACACTGACCTTCATAGTTGTTGAAGTTTGTGAGAGCTGAGATGAAAGCAGAAATGTTGGTGAAAAACGCGAAAGAGAAAACGGAGTTGAAAAACTATGTGAATGAGGAAGAGTTGATTTTTCAGTTTGAAAAGGAAGTTGTGATATGAAGATAGGCTTGAGGAGCATTTATATAGTGGAAGGTTGTGAGTGGTGAGAGAAGCATGACCAAGTCAAGGCCACGCAAATGGTTTTGCTTTTCCTTTCTCCGAGTTAAAACTACTTTTCTTCCCACTACTAGCTCTTTTATACTGTTCAATTTAATTTTAAAAATCAAACTATTTAGTAGCTATTTTTTGTCTCACTGCCATAATTTTGTTAATTTTACACCTTCACCATCAATTTATAAAAAGAGACCAGATTATATCGTTCTTTAAAGAATGTTAAAAAGTACTGAAAGTATTTTTAAAAAAAGCTTAATTATTGAAACGTATATTAAATAAAAAATATATATATTGAAATGACTTCTTTAAATTTGTTAGTTATTTATTTAACTTTATTCATAATTATGCATATTTTAAATTTTATAATTGTTTATTTGGAAATGTTGAGTAGAGATAATTACGTGGGAGAAAAGTATCGAAGAAGAAAAAGGCGAGGAAAGGTTCGAAGAAAGTGTGACGTTGGTTCGCGTCAGGATACGTAGGTGAGAAAATGAGTGGAGCTATCAAAATGATGGAGACGGCTTACGTTGCACGCATCCGCGTCAGCTGTTCACAAATAATACCTTTGACCATCATCATGTACAAAAGACTATAATTCAATCTTTGCGTCGATATAAACAGATATTCAAATCAATCGAAACTATTTCAATATCTCAGAACAAATTTTGAAAATCGATCAATCAAAGATAGAAAAAAGATATTTAATATTTTTAATTTTCAGTTTTCCCTTGTTCTTAATTGTTTATTTCCGTTGTTAATTTACTCTTTTAAATATTAATCGAATTCAATTTATTCCTATTCTTAAATATTTATTATGTAACTAAAATAGCTAGATATTGAAATATTAGTACCCTATTGTAGAATTGTGGAATCAGAAAGTTTTTAGAAGACTTTTTATTAAAAGAATAATTTTTTATCAAACAAGTTCACTCAATAAATTTAAATTAATTGAGTAAATAATAGTTTATCAATTTCGATTATCATTGAAATAAATTTACTTAATACATACTAATTCACTTGTGTAATTTTGCATATAAATAAATTAAATTTGTGTTGAAGATGTCATATAAAGTATATAAGATGAATTTATAGTAGATTTAAGTTTATTTCTTAAGATATTATTAAATTTATTTAAAATAAGATTTGTTATTTGATAAGCCTATTATATTACTTGTTATCGATCATATTAAATCATAATTAATATTTAGTTCATGTTCAATATATATATATAATGTAAATAAATAAAAAATATATTTAATAAATTAAATATAAATAATACTTATCATACATTTGTAATTTAATTATTGAGAGAAAGGTAATTAATTAATTTTATCTGTACAAAATTTACAAGAAAACAATTTAACATAATAATAGCATAAAAATTAAATAAGTGAAATTTAAATTAAGGAATTGATAGTTAATAGCTTTTATGAGTACAATATTAAGAATAAATATTTATATAAATATAGTATAAACTTTTGCAAGAATAAATATATTTTGTCAAAACTTTTTGTCAAAACTTTCAACTCTAATCACTTTTAGTTTTACAGAGGTAGTTTGTTCTTTTCAAATGATATTCAATGGTATTCATCCATTCCCGTCCAGGTGAGGATTGTGCTTGGGAAAATCTCATTATACACACACTTAAAGATTTTCCTAAAATTGAGTCTTATTATTTATTATAATTAAAGAGTTTTAAATAGCCATAACACTTACAATATTACGAGAAATAAAAATAAAATATAAACTATCTTCAAAACAAAATATATTTAATCTATCATAAAATAATATTGTACCTAGATAAACCGAAAATCATAATTACGTGTTCCTATTTTATCTCTATCAAATCAAACTAAATATTACTATACCCAAAAACTAATAAAATAAGATTTAAACAAAATTATTAATAAAACCCTAAAATTTAAGTTTATCCCAACTGTGTTTGTGGAAAATATTTTGATGTTCCAAGTTACTCAAGTGTGTTAGATGATGATAAATGTAATAATTAATTTAACGTAATCAATATATCTTGTGAGTTAAATTACTTTAGGAGACCTTACCTAGTTGGGTATGAGTCACTTGTTAATTTTGAAATAATTTCTTATTTTTTATCTTAATTGCGAATTATTGTAGCTAATCAATTTTACTGATATAAATACTTTTAGTGGACTACATGTTTATTGGATACATTTTGACCCAACAAGTGAATATGCACTCGATCATAATTATGAGAATTGTAGAATATATATGATAATAAAGTAAAATAAAGTTGAATAAGTGAAATTTGAATAAAATCCGTAGAATATCATGTCTGAAAACTAAAACAATTGTTGTTTGCCAATTCCATTTATCAAGTCAATTATAAAACATGACATAAATATGTATATAAATATGTATAGATTTATATAATTGTGTATTAAATCTTGAATAAATAAAAGTTAAATTCAAATTAAAAATATAAATTTGAGTTGTTTGAAAATTTTTAAAAATTCATTTTATTATATAAAATGAAGTAGTTGTTTAATAATAATATGACACAATATAAGTCAGAAACTATACTTTTTAGTGGGTGAAAGAAACACTGTATTGTTGCGCATGTATACCAAGGGAAGGGATTAATCCGAGTCTTCGTGCGAATCAATGGAAACAAACACTCTATTAGTTAAAAGAGTGTATAAATGTTTTATTCATTGGATTCCTGTACAAAGTCCACACTCTATCACACACAAAAGATAGCCAACTATGTTGCTTCCAAATTAACCAAATAACTCTAGTGTTACAAAACTTTCTCTTACAAAGACTTTCACTTTCTTTTATGTTGATTAGTATATTTATTTATTTATTTAAATTTAATTAATTAGAAGATACGGAGATGAGAAATACAATATTTTTGTTTGTTTTGTATTCATTTTTTGAGTCCATCGTAACAACAAAATTAGACAATGACACAACCATTGGGATCCTCTTCCACACTTATGGCACTGTAATATGGATTGTATTGTGGTTTCATCTGATAATAATAGCCATAAGTTTGATAGAACTTGAGTGGATCTGGAACAATTTCTTTTGTGGAATCTTTCTTTTCATCTTCCTTCTTTTTATCATCCTTTTTAGGTTCTTCCTTTTTTTCCTCTTTCGCTGCTCCAACAGAAACTATTTCTGTGTGACAGAACTTCCTTAGCTTGGCAACTACTTGTACTGGATCAATGTCCCCCGTTAAGGTTAATTTCTTGTCTTTCATGTCCACAGAAACTGACTCCACACCTGCAACAGTATTTCAAATACGATTTTAGTAATTGAGCCATCGATCTTATATTCTTTGGACTTCATCTCTTGAAACAAAAACCAGTTTCATTCAAGCTAATTCAACTGAATTGAGTGAAGGAAAACCAGCTTTGCCTGTACTACAATATTATCTTTTCACTTTTTATATTCTCACTTTTGTCCCCTCAATTTGTTTGAGCATTGAAAGCAGAGAAGCTAAAGAGATGAGGAACTCGAGAATTTGAAATTTAATTGAATACCTGAAATTCCAGAGACAGCCTTCATTGCTTTTTGCTTGATTTTGTCTTCATGTACATCCACCTTCAACACAACTTTCTGTTACAGCAAAATCAAGCATTTGTTAGGACTGCTCAAAACGATAAAAACAGAACACAGAGTGAATTATGAATATCAAGAAGAATTCTGAGCTGAAATTGGAAGAGTGACCTTCATAGTTATTGAAGTTGGAGGGAGTGAGTGAAAATGAAAGAATGTGAAAGATGAAAAAGATGGTTTTGGAATTTGAAGTTGTGAAATGAAGATGCGGCTGAGGAAGATTTTTATAGTAGTTTATGGTGGTGAGAAGGCATCGTGTTACTTCGTGTTTGGATCCTCGAATGTTACTTGTGTACGACTGGTCTTGTAGTGAATGATGACGACAACGTTTCCAACCACATTCGTCTCCCCGTTCGCCCCACCTTCTTATCATCTTAGTGAATTTTAAAGCTATGGTTTAAACGGTATTTTTTATTTATCAAAGTTAAACATTTTTAAATAACTTCTGTAAATATGAATTTAATTTTTTCTTAAAAAAGAATAAATTTTTCAACAGTTTTGATTTAGTTCTGATTATTAACTTTATTTTTAATAGAGATAAAATTAATTTATAATAATTTTTTGATGAGAGTCTATTATATAATTTATTACTGAAATATTAATTTTGAAATAAATAACACTTAAAACTATTTTTTAATTAGTTGCACTTATATATATTAATTTATTTTATACTTATTTTTTTAATTATTTGTATTTATATTTATTTATTTATCTATCTATCTATATATATTAATTTGATTTTCAAAATTTATCATAATTAAAAATAGATAAAAAAATTTAAATAAGCACCTGTAGTATTAATTTTATTCTAATTCCTTCTTAAAGTTTATCAATTTTTTGTAAGTAAATTTTAGAAGAATATTATTTAAACTGAGTTAAAATATAAAAAATAGTATTCTTGGTAAATTTATTTTATTTAAATTAAGTTAAATTCTATCTTTTAAATAAAATTTCGAACTTTATTACTGATATTTCTATTAATTTAGGATATGTAAATTTTAAATCCTTCAAAATCATAAAATTAATTTTACAAAGATAGCATCATCATATAGTCAACAAATTAAATCAGGGTAAAAGAACCTCATAAACAATTAAAAATTATACACCATTAAAAAATATTTTTACATGTTTAACTTTTTTGTTAATTTTATTTATAATGTAAACTATCTTTATATTTTACTATATATAAATGAATTACAGAATGAAAAAAAAATTACTGATATTTTGTGTAAATGATTTGACTCAAATTTACTAAAAAATCTATTTATAAAAATATAGATACATTTTTAAGTATCAATTAGAATAAAATTTAAATTGTAGATAATCTTTTATTTATTATATATATATATATATATATATAAACTATAAAATTTTGTTTTAACATTTTTATGCCTTCAAAGATAACAATGTAACTTTTAATAATATTTAATATTTATGAAATGGATTTATGATTAATATTAATAATTAAAATTAGTATTTCTATTTTAAATATGTGTTAGAAATTTCACATCGATTAGATATATGATTAATTTATAGTATATAAATGATTACAAACTTCACTTTAGAATCTGATTTTATGTTATTGAGTTAAATGTAAGTTCACTTTTTAACCGTATATAAGTTAATAAACAAAAAATCAATTTTATAAAATCTCTTGAAATGAAATTGAAATTTTGTATTGGGAGTAGAGTATTTATGTACCTTTTGATTAAATATAATTGTTTATCAAACTATAAGTCACTCGTAAGGGTCTAAGATTATCTTCAACTCATCAAATTCATGAAGGTTATAGATTAGGTTGAATTAAACCTACTTAAAATAGAAATTAGGTATTAAGTTTAGGATAATGATATTTTGACAACATTTATTAACAATATTTTAACATCATCTACATGTCATTCTGTGATTAGTCTAAAATTATTTCACAATCAATAATAATAATAATCATAAACACATGAACCAATCACACAATGACACATAGATAATATTAAAATATTATAAAAAATGTTGTCAAATACCGGGGTTTAAGGTGAATATAATACCTTTGAGACTTTCTTTCTGCACCCCTGTCAAATTTCTTTCTTGTGCCCTGTCATAGAAATATAGATATATAAAAAAAGTTATTCGAAATAGGGATAGGGGTGGGTGGTGGTATTAGAGTGTTTCCAGGTGAAATATATATTTCAGGAAAAAGAAATCCGTAGTACTATTAATGAGTGTTTTTCGGAAAGATATTTTCAAAATTAGTCTGTTGTGTTTTAGACAGTAAAATTCGAAAGTTATATATTTGATGAGGGTGCAGGAAGAAATTTGATGTGATGAAAGAAGAAACAGTCTTCAACAAAGTTTCCATTCAAATGACAGACATTTTTTAAAATAAATTTGGTGGCATTTGAATTAAGCTTGGTGAGGCAGGTTATTACTAATAAGATTTTTATTTGTAGAAATTGAATAAATAAAGTTTACAAGTAATTGGATGTTTTGCTGACAAAAAAAATGAATAGACCACTTAATAATTAAATAATATTATCAACTTAAATTATTTTTTTAAAATAATTTACTATAACGATTGAAGTAACCTGTTTATAGGAATAATGTCGTAATTCAATTAATACAATGATTTGATGTATTAACTATATCTTTTTTCCTCAACACTAAAGATAATTAATAGTAAAGATAATTAATAGTAAGATGGTACAAAGGTACCCAGAGTAATCACACTATTAGAATTTTTTTTCAAAAGAATGATTAATATCAAGATTTATAGGGGTATCCAATTCATAATATATATATATATATATATATATATATATATAATTTCAATATTTATACATTATAAGTAGATATAAACTTCGTCTTATTAAGCTGAATTTGTGAAAATGAATGAAATTTAAACATAATTCCTTAAGCTTATTGGTAATTTTCTTTATGGTTAATAGTAATTTTCTATTTTTTTTCCCTTAATGTGGGAGTCCTTTAACTTGGAGAGATTTATGGCATGTGTTTGAAGGAATTTTTCTACAAAAAATAAAATAGATTGACTTTATCCTAAATTAAAATTTATTTATACAAGGTAAAATTAACGTATTGTATAGACTGACTAACTTATATTAAATTATATTTTATAAAAAAAAGTAATTTTTTTATACTTCTATTTTCTAGAATTTTACTTAAAAAATAATTTTCGGACTCCAACAATGTTGATAAAGTGTGGTGTATATTAATGTCTGATCAAAATTGAAGTCATTTTCACATGACAAAAAGCTTATATCAACTGATTATGGTTTTATTTTAAAGTTTTCAAAACCGGTAACCCGACTTAATCTGGTCCGACTTAGCACGAATTGGTCACTTAATAAGTCAACCCAATCCGGTTCATTTATTAGTAAGCTGACAAAATTTGAACCTGACTCACCATGGGTTGGTAGGTTAAATGGGTTCACTCACTCACTCATTTAATTATAAGTTTATTTTAAAATTAAAAAATTATAAATTTTTTAATTCAAATCTAAATAAAATGTATTAATATTATCAAAGCGTAATCGAAAAACATGCACAAAAGGCGAACAAATAAGTTTTTAATATTGATAATTTTTGTATCACTTGTCCATTTATAATATTAGAGTATTGAATAGATAAATCTATAATATTTTTCTCTCTTGAAACATCTTTTTCCTTATCACCATGTACAATATAATAAAAAAAATGCTAACTAATAATATTGAAACAAAAAATTATAAATAATTAAATTAAATTAGGTGGGTTGGTGAGCAAATCTAAAATAATTTTGTATGTGATAAATTAGTTTATACACACAAAAATAAGAATTTAAAAATTTACGTGAGAATTTTTTATTTAATTATTTTATAAATGAATTTATAAAAATATATTTTATTTATTTTATTTTTCTCTTTAAAAAAATTTACGAAAAAGTTTATAAAAAGAGAACCTATATTATACTTTATGTGAAGTCTAGTGCCTAAGCATTCCTTTCCCTTCCTTCACTTATTTATTTTCTTCTTTCTTATTTCTTTAGTTTTCTTTTTCATTTTTCTTCTTCATCTTTCTACTTTTTATCTTGGATGCTTTGATCTTTTCATCAATCCCTTTCCTTTTCTCTAAATTCTTGTTTTTGTTTCTTATTTATTTGACAAACACATTCTACCAAATAAACAATGAGAAGATTATGAGCACTTTCATCCAATTATATTGTTATTTAAAATAAATTCATTTTTGTTTTGTAATATTTTAATTCTTTATAGTTTCACTCTTTTTGAAATAAAATTACTTTCTTTTGTTAGATTATTCAAATTTTTATTCTCAAAACTGGTTTCCTTTTTTAAGTTTTTTAAGTTGTGTTTTTGTTTTTTTTTTTTAACTTTTGGTTCGTGATAATTAATTTTTTTGAGTTTTGTCTATTTTATTATTTTCATTTAAAACTTATTTTAAATTATTAGAAATTATTAGTGAAAAACAACAATGTATAGCATACACATAATAAATAGTAAATATCATTTTCTTCACATAAGTGGGAAATGCACATAAATATCGCAATTCACAATTTAATTAAACAACAAAAGTTACAAAAACATAAAGAAATTGTGTTTTCTCAAAAGAGTTTGTGTACAACCAAAATTTAACATAGAACATTACTTCATTTTGATATGCATGTCTGTTCATCTCAATTCTAAATTTATGTTAAAATCAACTGAGTAGTTTACTCAAATCTTATTCTTAGTGACTTTTAACCTATGATAACTCATAAAAGTCTAATTCATTGGATCATAGAAAACAATTATGCATTAAGTTCAAAAGTCTTAAGATTACTAATAAATCATGTGTACACATATATATATATATATTTATACACATCTAAAATTACACAAGAATTTAGTTCATTATATATAATCTAAAAAATTTGGATTAGGTCTCTATGGTGTAGAAGTCAGGGTTTACAAATAGAAGAGATAAAAAAAAAATTAAAATCAAAGAGAAGAGGAAATTTCTTTTCCAAGACACTAAATAGTTGCTCCACACTTCTTTTGTGTTTCCCATTCTTACCTACATCTCTCATTCATAGCCTACATTCCTCTCTAACCCGTGGAAAAGGAGAAAACCATCATGTATGGAGGAGAAAACCCAAGGAAGAGTAGGAAAACTTTCCAACACCCATAACAACCTCCAAGTTGTTATGCAATATTGGTTTCTTGTTGATTTTGCAACACTAAGCTCAATTCCAACAGCATCCAGCATGAGCATGTGCTCTAAAATGATATTTTCCTATCCTAAACATATTTTCTTGAGCCTTAACTTATTTTCATTCTTCACAAATGTTTTTTATTCATTTATTTAACACACCCAAAATAGATATTATAGGTAAAAACAAACATAAAATAATTAAAACACAAAATAATTCAAAAACACACTAAATTTGAGAATTAAAACGATATATAAGTCTAAGTGTCATTTTAAATAAAAAAGAAAGTTTAGTGCTGTATAACTCATGAATTCATTACTTTAAGGTTTTTTTTTATAAAAATAATAGTTTGAATATAAAAGTAAAAGTAAAGTCTAAATACAGTTTAAATAGTAGTATTATTATAAAAAAAAATCAGTACCATGCCGTACCAATATTACCAGGTTCATAGATGATGTATAATGAAAGAAATAAAAAATAACTTCACAGATTAATAAAAATAACACAAAAAGTAATGTTAAAAGAACAAACGGGATAAAAATGAAATAAATATATTATAAATTGTGTAAATTCTTTTTCTTTTGAAAATAAAGTGATCAACTTTGTAATATAGATCATTATCAATTGCAAATAATATATTAACATGAAAATATAAAAATAGAACTAAATTTCTCAACATACCATGGTAGTAGCTATTATTATTATTATTATTATTAATATTATTTTCCAAATGAAACATGATTATATAAAATTAATTAAAATGACAATTTTTTATTGATAGTTGTTGCGGCATGGTGGAAAAATTGAAGATTAATCTTCAATTTTTCGTAGTACACGTGAAAAATAATAATAATTTATAAACAAATATATTTCTAAGAAAAAGACGCTGTATTTTGAAAGCACCAAAATAGGTTAAAGGAAAGATAGATTAGAAATTTGGAAATGGTTGCATCAACAATACACAGACACGGTAGCTTCATGGAAGAAGAGAGGTTGGGAGCCTCTCGTTTTCTCCTTTTGGTTCATCTCCCACATGTCGTGTTGCATTCAACAATAATTTTTTTCTCATTATTTTTCTGTGTTAGCTTTTCACAAGGCTTTTAAATTTTTATATGGGATTAGAGATTATATCAATTTACAAATAATTCTTAAGTTCTTTTTTGTAAAAAATATTTAATCCTAAATTTATTTTCTAATAGTATGTTGTTCCTCATTATTAGATATTCACATTACACAGTTTCATACATAAAATATCAATGTAAAAGGACATGTTAAAAACAAAATACAAATGTATATGTATCATTATTGTGTTTATTCGGTGTGTCCTTTTTATCTATTTGCATTTCGAAGTTTGTTTTATTGTTGTTTTCAATTTTATATATTATATATTAAGTTTGTGGACTAAAGGTCACAAAGGTTAACACCACTCTCATTCCCAAACATTTCAAGTTTATCCTCTTTTGATTATTCATCCTTTGTACTACATATGATAAAATATATAAATATAAAATAGATCAATATCCATGAAAACTTATAAAACTAACCATCCCGGATGAAATAATACAATTTTAATATAAAATTAGAATTAGTTTATATTCGAATATTTAATACAATTTAACCTTCAAATTTAAAAAATAAAATACATATAATTTTTTAATTTAATTATATTAAATTTTTTTACGTATGAGATATATAATATTGAGTGTGTGGGACTAGACATTAATGGTGGTCCGATAATGACTGTAACAATATGTTCAATAAATAATAAATATTGTTTGGATAGATGGTAACTATAGCTCTGATATCATCTTAAGAAGTAAACTTTAAACTTAATTTAACTCCACAAAATCGTAAAATGAGTTTTGTACCCACTTATACACTTTAAATTGACCTTATATCTAGTTGGATCTTTGAACCGTTTGACACATTTTAACTCAAATATCAATTAAAGACACGGTTTAACATATGAAAAAAAATCATATTAAAATAATTATATCTATTTATTTTTTAAATTTGAAAATCAAATTGTATGAAAATTTGAAAAACTCTAATTTTGTATCAAAATTTAAAAACTATATAAACATATTTAATTTTATATAAAATAATAAAATTCATCAAATAAAATGTGTTTATAAGTCACCTCATAAACATAGAATCAACACTATTTTTTTTTTCACAAAGTCTCTTCTCGGATGGCTTAAACCTAACAAGTTGACGTTAATGACGGTTCAAATTAAAGTTAACTTACAGATTAATAAACCTCAGAATCCTCATCTATATCTCTTAAAATGGTGAAAGCTTCTTAAGATTCTACAACTACACTTGTTATTGATGAAGCATCACTAGTATTATCAATATATATCACCACTGTTAATATTGTAAATCGTGACTTTTTTTCCCCTATACAGGTGTTCTAATTTTATTTTTTTTCTAGTTTGCACAACCAAATCAATATGAAGTAAAAGATGAATATGAAATATTTTTATATTAATTTACAGATGCATATTCAATCCATCAATTTAAGATGAATTGTTCCACTGTTTTAGAAAATAAATATTTTAATCATTCATTGCATATATATTAGAATGTAACATTTCTTGAAAACTAATCAAGAAAGTTCAACACATTTAAAAGCTCATTAAATACGCACAACAAATTCAGATGCTTTATCCTCCAAAATGTGATGATACTAATAAAAGAAGAAAGTTACCACCTAACAACTTTACAAATGGATAAGATAAAGCATGAGAAAATTAGAAAACTTGTCAGAAAAACTCTTAATTTTTTGTTTTTGATGGAGAGGAGATGAAAAGGAACCCTTTAAATTATAACTGTACGATGTGGATAAGGTAAAAGATTTTATGGGTGGAAAATTTTAAAAATATAATTTTTATGGAGTTACAAAACAGAATTAATTGATTAAGCGTAAAAACAAATAGTTATATTGTTTTCTAGTTTAAATGTTTTTTATTCTCTACATAGGAAGAAAGTGCAACAAACATAGGAAGAGAGACAAAGGAACAGACTGAGCGAGACAAGGGTGAAAGAGACGAAAGGTAAAAGGAAAGAATAGCAAAGACAGCATTGGGTCCTCAGAACGTGAAATCGATATGGGCCCATGATAAAATGACCGGGCCCATCAGAAAATATCTGGTGTGAAATTATGTGGCCTAGCTTTGTGTGTCACTAACTACCTTACAACCAAGTAGGCCTTGTGGGCCATGGGCTTTTTCCCTTAACCCATATTTCCTCGACACGTCACAAATCACTTAATCGCAACCTTTCCTGTCGTTTTTTTCAACATTAATAACTAAAAGACTATGCTTTATGTTCGTCAACGAGTTTTTATCAACTCCGTGTTACTAAATAAAATAAAATAAAATTTAGAATCCACACAACAACAAGAAATCGTTTCAAAATATTAATATTTAATTCGTAAAAGTTTTAAGAAAAAAATTGTTTATTTTAATGAAATCAAATTTAAAATGACATTTTTGGCATTGTTCCTAATCACGTGCAGTTAGGCTACGCGTGAATTCAGGAATATGGAAAAGACATGATTTTGTTGCACTAAAATCTGATTTTGTGTGTGTTTGTACTGTTGGCATATCTAACATTTTGGAAATTAATAGATAAGTGCGAGTACAAATGATAACATTAATCAAAGTCTTGTCAAGAACTAAATTCAAAATCACATAATTATCTGTTTTGTATTATTCCAGAACATTATTGGTGTTTTACTATGAATGTTAAATCATACGTGGCACTTCTCTTTGTAAATAAACCATGCCAACTCAACTTCACAATTGGAGATATTTTGCTCTAAGAAACACTGTCACTGTCTTCAATTCTGTCATAAACTACCAAACTATAATTTGTCTCTAATTAGACTTTCATCTGAGCGACCATATTATTAAACTTCACTTAAGACACGGAATATTATTTTCATTAGGAAACTAAGTCCCATGACAAGAACAAGTGCACAACTGACACATGCTCACAGAAATTAAATGATTCGACAGTTTACAACTATCCATATATCTTATACATAGGCTTTTAGTCTACTCTCTTGAGAAAAAAGAAGAAGAAATAAACCAAGTAAAAGAGAAAAGGAAAAATAAGGTAAAAAATAAATTTAATTAGAAAAAATATAATAAAGATAAAATTGATGAATTTATTCATTATTGGTAGTATTATAGAAAAAATAGATTATGATGTAACTACAGTCAATTTTGTTTTTTCAAAATCTTTGTTATTTTCGACAGTAGTTGGATTTGAAAAAGAATCTAAGAGTAATTAAAGATAAAATTAAAATTTAATACAATAACATAATATAGTGCGTTAAATAAAATAAAAGAAGCTTAATTAAAATAGGTGGTGAGGTGGCAAGGGAGGATTGGCGCTTGCGAAGTAGGAAGAGAAAAAAAAAAACAGAGGAAAGTATCTCTTATAAGTACTCTGTGGTTCTGTTCTGCTCTAACTAACAGCAGCATCTATCTGTTTCTACAAGATACACAAACCTTAAAGCTTGAAACTTACAACCAAAAGGAGGAGCATGGTATCTAAAAACTCCAACCCTTCAGAGACTTTTTACATGGACCCTTCTGCTATGTCGCTCCCCAGAATACTCCATTTTTCCGCCACTACCCCTGCCGATTCTCTTGAGGACCCTGCTAAGAAGACTCGCAAACCTTACACTATCACCAAGTCTAGGGAGAGTTGGACCGAACCCGAGCACGACAAGTTCCTCGAAGCTCTTCAGCTGTATGTCAATTTCACGGTTTTTTATAATTGGTTTTGTATTAGAATGTAGTGTGTGGATTTTGAAGCTCAATTGAGACATGGGTTTTAGTGGTATATCATATACGAGGTTTCAAATTGTTGTATATAAGGAGAAATTGATTATAAATGTGAGGGTATAATTGTGGTTACTGTCACTCCAAAACTCTTAATGTTTCAGGGGTATGTGCTTATGATTAGGTATTTCCTATTTTTGACGGGTTTAGTGTTAGGGACAGGGTATGGTTTCTATTACTGTTATTGTTATTTGAAAATGACTCTGGTTTTGACTGTTCTGTATTGCATTGCTCGAGACTCGTCGAAAGAGAGAGAATCAGAAGGGAATTAGGCAGGTTTATTATTCTCTTTGAAGTGTTTTTATTAGAAACTTAGATTTATATGTTGATTCTTTCAAGTATCAAAGCATCATTTTATACTTGTACATGAGCCACTTTGGAGGAGATAGATTTTGATATGTTGATTGGCAAGGATCTTGTACACTGCATGGATAACTTTTTGGTTTAGCTAAAATATGAATTTCTCTGAATACTAGCAATAGTGTGGTAAATATACTGTTTATTCATGATGTAATGCAGAATGACCATAGCTCAAGTTACTGCAAATCCTTCTTACAGAAAATTATTAATTTGTGAATAGAAAAGAAAAGAATGTAATGATTTTCTAGGTACTTCTACATAAATTTACATAATTAAAAAGAAAAGATAGAAATTAATGCTTGGGGACGTTAAGAAGTTCTCCTGACTAGAAAAGAATGAGAAGAAAACAGTGAGCAGTAGCTAGGAAAATGCAACAGAGCTCTTTCAATATTAAATTTTCCTTTAAATAGCTAAGGCACCTAAGATAAACCACAAACACAATTCAACAACAAATTTAAACATAACCTGACAACATTGAAAGTACTGTTGTTTCTCTCCAACCAAGTACACCTGAAAAGTACCAAGTTGTTTAAATTGTAAATTCTGATAATAACTCATCTCATTTTGTTTCTTTGGTTCTGGATGCAGATTTGACCGTGACTGGAAAAAGATTGAAGCATTTGTTGGATCAAAGACAGTTATCCAGGTAATTTCAAATGCAACCTTTGTCTGGAAATTTGCACTAGCTGTTTGGGTTAGCCATAAATGTCCAGGATTGAATAGAGCAGAATGGAGATGTCATGGATTAAAATTTGAGAACACTTAGTCATACGAACATTTATGTCATGTCAGGGAACCAACAACCCCAAAAGTTTAATTTGATAGATATAGGTTTGGGAGTGGCTTTATTGTCTTAACTAGGATAATGTAATTTTTCTTCTGGGATACCATCGGTTGGCTAACGTGAAAAGAAGAAAATCTTTTATGTTGTTAACGGAAAGAGAAACCAAATATTCATCGGTTGAGTGTTTGTAGCTTAAATGGATTTAAATGGACACCTCAAATACCTATGAGAAGGACTGAAAAATTACTACTGATTTTGCAGATACGAAGCCATGCTCAGAAATACTTTCTAAAAGTTCAGAAGAATGGGACAAGTGAACATCTTCCTCCACCCAGACCAAAAAGAAAAGCTGCTCATCCATACCCTCAGAAAGCTTCAAAAAATGGTTTGAATATTCACTATATTTTTTATTTCATTATTTAATATGATTGTATCTAATAATTTATAGTGATATCTGGCAGTTCCAGTGCTCTCACAAGTATCAGGGTCCTTTCAATCATCATCGGCTTTGCTTGAACCAGGGTACATTATGAAGCGTGATTCTTCAGCAATGCTTAAAACTCCTATTATTAACGCTGCAGCGTCTTCCTGGTCAAACAATTCTCTGCAGAAAAGCACCAATTTATTGCATGGTACTAAACGCTGAACTTTCCATACTTCAACTTTGATTACATTATCATTGGAAACAGTTGTGGATGTTATTTAAATATTTTTCTGAAGGTAATAATTATTTATCGAGTTTATCATATCGTATGTTTTAGGCCACAAAGTGAATAATTGTTGCAGTAACGGTGGAAGTCCTAGAGCACAGTTGGTTGGTGAAGCTAATGGTCAAGGGAATAATATCCATCCATTGAGAAGTAAGGGTTTAATGATTTTATTTCTAATTTTTTATGTTCTCGTCTGCAATTATTAGACCACATTCAATGTGTGTACGGCAGCAAGGTTATGAAATGTTGTAGACTGACAATGTGTGTAGATAGAGTATGCCGTATGCTTCAGTGTATACACTCTTTCTCTATTTTATTTTAAATACTAAAAAAAGAACTTGTGGGGTCCAGAGTAACTTTGGACTCTGTTTCCCATCACCTTGGGACATGAATCTTAATTATCATTATCTAAGTCTTGAACAATTTTGCGATTTTAATGTTTAGTCACCATATGGAAACTATAGCGAGTCCTGTTTTTCTTGTTTTGTGAATCATTATCTACAGAAAGCTCTGTTGGCCTGGAAAAACTGATAACTCAACTCCCACAGACTAACCGCTCTGTCATGCGAACATCCTTTTAAAAATTTATCTTTCTTCCAACGAAGTATTGCTGTTTCCCAAATCACATTGGCAGTTTTCTTCTCAATATTTATAATGTTTCATCTTCCTGTTTTTAATGCAGTTCTTCCAGATTTTGGTCAAGTTTACGGCTTCATTGGTAGTGTATTTGATCCAAATGTAACTGGACATCTGCAGAAACTGAAACGAATGGACCCTATAGATGTTGAGACAGTAAGTACTTGTGAACGTGATTTCTTTTTAAAAATGATTCTTTCCGATTATTCTTCACGGCTATTTATTTGTAATTTCCTTTTTAGGTGCTATTGTTGATGAGAAACCTGTCTATCAATTTAGTAAGCCCAGATTTTGAGGACCATGTAAGTATTGTGACAACTATCTTTGTATTACTATTACAATGAATATGTAATTATCAATGCACCGTTTTTTCTTACTTGGGCCTCGCCCTTCTCTTAACCCAACATCAAATTTTGATTATGTTTTCAAATACCTATTTTGGGGATTCTTAGCTTGAAATGATCCCTATATGTTCCTCATCTTTCCAAAACTTTCAAAAAATTGATTGGAATTTTCTTCTTTATAGAAACTTGAATGACTGAAGTTGACATCAAATTGGATGTTCAAGGAGAGAAGAAAAGATGATAAACATCTATATTTATACGCATGTTGTGTTATTCATGCAGAGAAGGCTGCTTGCATCATATGAAGTGGAACCTGAGTCAGATAACTATTATATCAATGCAGATCGAAACATGGTTGAAGGGCAGTTGAAGAGTGTTACTTAGATGGCGGAGGCAGACAATGACTTTCTTTTTCAGCTGCTGAATGCAGTCGGGTGGAATGTTGCATGATGAGGTAAGATGCCTTGGCATGGAGGCTGACTGAAGTAAATTCTACTGCTCATCATCTTAGTGGAAGACTTTTGAAAATTCCCACAATTCAAATCAGTTTTTCTTATATGATAAAAGAAAATGTAGAGATAGGGCACATAGTTTTGCATAGTATGCACAGATATATGTGCTCTAGATTTAGCTAGAAGTGTAATATCTGAAAAGAGAGACAATTCCCCTTTAAAAACTTTCTAACGGTGTACAGTATAGATTTTTTTAACACTGGGGGTATGAAATGAACATTTGAAATAAGAACTCAACTGAGAATGATTTATTCAACTCATATACCTAACATTATTGGATTGGAGAATTATGTTTTAACTTTTTATGCACCAAAACAGTGTCATTGATTTAACTGACTGGAGGAAGTCTGTCTCTCACTTCGCTCATTTGTATGATAAAAGGACACTGCTTCCTGGAAGAATTCCTTGTGATTTCCTTTTAAGTTGCTGGTTAATTTGGTGAAAGAATAACCAGACATCCAACAGAATATTGAAAACGACCACAGTTTCATTTGTCACATAAGGAATACAGAATGCGACATGGTAAAGGCTGAGACAACCAAATTTATAGTCACTCATGAAGAAACACGGTTCAGTCCGTTACTCTTACAAATATTGGACTGATTTTTCACAAAGACCACATGAATGTATTCAGAAAGTTTCTGACTTACTGTACTAACTGCCTATACACATATGTTGTTTACTTTTAGATTTCTTTGTCGTGTCATGAAATATTTCCAGTAATGAAATTTTAATGTACTATATCTAATTCAGACAGTAACTAGAAGAAAGCTTCGCAAATGTTTCACTCCAAAAAATGGAATTGTCAGGGTAGATTACTCAGCCAGTGTTGGCTGTCGTCGAAAGTCTGGTACTAGAAACCTTGCATATGAGGATGGCAGTGATTTGCTCGCAATTTCATTTCAATGCAACTGTCAACTGGAGTTGGATTGATGTTACAATGACCCTGAAAGTTTAACGACGTGTAGAATATTATTAGTAACTATCCCACCTTTTAAATTTCGGTTCAACATAACTCGTACAAAACATTATGAAGTGATTGCTTACCGAGACTTGATTTTACAAAATCCCCGTAGTTTTTGGCTCCTGATACGCGAAGGTTCCAGTCGGCATCGAATTTAGCTTTTGTGTGCAAGAAGCCATCTGGAGTGCAGGCAGATGCAGTGGAACTCCACTTTTGGATACACTTAATGAACGGACATGAAGTTTATCAGGATTTATAATCTGCTGGAACATTGTTTGACTAACTCCATGATCAAACCTTTCCAGCTCGTCGTGATAAAGAGGGAAATGTTGAGAAAATGGATTGGATGGGAAAGAGTGGGAAAAAAAAGAATGAACGGCCGAATCAATGGAGTTTATTTGAAATCTATTATGGTCCAGTTGATCCTTCCTCTCTGGATTCAAATGATTGGAGCAGAACTCGGTGTGATTTTTTTGTGCATGCGTAGAGTGGGAAAAGCAGCCCAACCCAGTTCCATGGTGCACCATTGGATCATCCACATTTGGTGTAGAACTTTCTTCATTGAGTATAAATTCCACTAGCTTTTCAATCATTTCTCGAGGTGAGCTTGGACTAAACACCTCAGCTTCAATTGGACTCCTTTCAGCGGTACTAGACATGGAACTATCAACCACAGCCAAATTTTCCACATCGGACAGCAAGAATAGTTCATCAAATGTAATTAAACTGTCTTCGTCAGGCAAGCAAAGTTCACTGCTCGAACTCGATTCTCCGTCTATGCTATCAGTGAAAGAATTTAACTTCAACTCCCGTCGCACGTGGAAATCAGGGCTGGATGGATTTTGCTTCATGCCAACTGAAATACCTCTACAATAGACCGTAGATGATTCACAGTCATCAACCATTGAAGCGAACTGTTTTTCCTTTTCCACACTAGTAGGAGAGATACAAGCTTCTGAGGGACGACATATTGAAATTCTTCCTGAAAAAAATGACATAATAACCTTAAATGACAAGTTGACAGAGAAAATGAAGAAACGCATGAAAAGAGTTTTTGACCTTTTCTCCATATTTCCCTATCTGCTATCTCTTGATTTGCACACTCACAAGATCCAGATATGTCACCGTTAAGCAAGTCATTGCTATGTCTAGTTGAAGGAAGTGACTGAAAAAAACCATGATATTATGGACCCTTGAACAAAACAGAAGTAAAAGGTTGCACGCCTCAATCTACCTTAAATTATGGAAACTATATCTACCCTGTTATTAATACATAAATATAAATCTCAAATTAGACCTTGTAGCGACATGGGGGCCTGTATGGTTCATCACTTCTATGCAATAGACTATTAATATCACGAGGAACCTCCAGAGAAAAATTTTGAGGAACACTTTTTTGACACCTGGGATCTGTGCGAAAAGCATGAATAGTTAAAGATACTCTCTTCAAACAAAACCACTACATGCTACAACAATCCATAATACACAATAATGATAAGAAAGTAGCTAGTAAGCATATTGGAAGCTCTAAAGTAGAATTACAAAAGCCAAAATTACACACCTGGAACACATAAACGTAAAGAGAAAAGTTCGGATGCCTCGTCATCAAGCACACTGTTGGAGAAACATGGACCAAATAATTAATATTCTAAAAACACAATAGCATACGAGGGTTTTTTTCTTTAACCATGAAATTGAGGACTGAGCTTACGAAGGAAACTTCACTATTAGGTCCGTTTGGTCTAAGGAGAGAAGAAATTCTCTTGTGTATGAAATTTTTAAGCGCCTGCAATACCAAATCAAACAAAAGGATCTTAATCAAATTAGAGACATAACTAGGTGTTACTTAATAGCTAAGAAAAAGGTTGCAGTATCACTAAGCCAAAATTTTCATCACTAGATGCATAACTCTGGGATCCTCACCAAACTGAAGCCTACAGTCATAAAGAAATAAAAATCCACGACGATTTTAATGATTATAAAACAATAAAGGTGAAATGTGACTCAGTAGTTTCTCAGAGAATGAAGGTTCATTGTAAAAACAAAGAAATCAAGAAATTTCTAATAAAAATAAAAAACATAGCACAATATGCTTAAATGAAAACAAGAAATCAAGAAACTATAATAATAATTGGAACAAAGTAAATATTAATAAATAATCATTCGGATCAAGAAAATATTGATATAATAAATCATTCATTGAAGTTTACTTGTTAGGCTCTCGGACGTGAACATCCAAAGGAGACGTAGTAGAGAATGTAGCAGTGCCATTTTCTTGGCTCATTTTTTTCTCGGGAGAATAAATCGTCAACGATTATTGACTCAAAAGTCTATTACCTTGGACTTGGACAGACTACATAGACCTTTCAAGAATGTGGTTAACTTGTGAAGAAGGAGCTGCTGCTAAACCTAAAATCGAAGACATTGCTTCTAAGAGTGAATTCAATGGTGTAGTGCTATCCGTAACTTTTTTATTCGAATAGAAAAAAAAAGGAAGAAGCAATGATAGCAAGGACAGGAATAGCCGGAACGCCGTCAGGAGGTGGTGGAGTTGGCTGAGGAGCAAAACAAGCAGTTTTCTCAGGAAAACATGTGACGGAAAGAATGGAAGAGAAAAAGCAAAACCTTGGTGAGGAAGTTAGTGAGTGAGTATATATATGTTGGAATTTTTATATTATGATAAAAAAAAATTGTTAATCTTAACATACTCTTAAAATTAATACTTTTATATTATTAATCAATCAAACATTATTTATTTTTAAATTTTGTATGCAAATGAAACACTGTTATTTATTTTTCCTTTACTGAATATTGACATATTGTTACTGATAAAGGAGAACGGCAATTATATAAAATGAAAAATAAGTCGAAAGGTAAATTTGAAAATAAAATGGAAATATGAGGTTAAAGTTAGAGATATGATTAAGAGTGGTTGAATGAATGCTTAATAAGGAAATAAATATATGTATGTATTTCTTCACATGTAGTGATGCATTTAAGAGTATTTGTTTGTTTGCAGAGTTTGGTATTTAGGAAGAGTGATACAAACTAAGCCTCTTTTTGTTTGTTTCTTTTCACTTATTTTATTAGACTAGGGAAATGCAAGGGAGTCATGTGTTTCTATTAACTGAAAATTCATTCCTATCATAATTATTATTTTTGTCTTTAATGTTTTTTTTTTGTCTTTTTACTTTTTTATTTTTCTACTGGTTTTTTCTTTTTACCTTCTTTAATGTGCTTTTTTACTTTTACTAGAGTCAAATTATCATTTAACTTTATTTAAACTAATCCTAATTTTATTTCATCTTAATTTATAAAATTCATATTTTAATTTAATATATTTTATTAATATTAATTTTTCAGTTTAAATAATTACTTACATTTTATTATAATATAATCTACAGTATGTACAATTTAATTTAAATTACTTTTACGAAAATAAAATAATAATATTACTTTTTTATGAATTAAATTATTTTTTTAATATATCGATTATATTACTCACTGATTATCATAAAAAAATCATTTCTTTTTAAATTTCATCATTTTTTCTTTATAAAAACAATTCAATTTTCATATCTTTATCTTGGACAACACAATCAATTACTTTATTTTGATTTCATTTCCTTAAAGCAAGTGCTTGAATGCAATACAAAAGTAGTAATTAAAATTCAAACACATTCATGTCATTAGAAGAAGGCATTGGTAGAACAAGACTTGAGCTTAACAGATTCAATGGGCAGAGAGTTGGTTGGAAAAGGACACTGGAGTTGCTCTTTCTCTGGCAACGATTCGCAAGGAGGAGGAGTGACCTTGTTTGTGACTCCAGAAACATCAGTGCAATTCCATTGATGCTTCTTTGGTTTTTCATTGAATTGGATGGTGACATTGGAGATGCAAATGTTGGTGAAAGGGTTGTTAGAAATTCCTTGGAGTCTTGCAGACATCTTGACCTGTGTTGCAACAACGTCTCTGTAATATATCCCAGTAATGTTGGGTAGTGCTTTGGGATCATAGTTTGGATCAGGGTGTGATTTGTAAGCGCCAGTCATCCAAAACACATACTTCATGGTTGTCAGGTTCATTCCTTTCACAAATATGTCTTTCACATACCCACCTCTACCCACTGCTGTTTTTATTCTGATAGCTGATTCAGTGTTGATGGCAGTCAGATCTTCAGCTCTAACATCAGAGATTTCTCCAGACATTTCACTGCCTAAAGCAATCATCGCACTATCAGGGGATACACAAGTAAGCCTTTTAATCACTATGTGTTGAGATGGCATTGCAAATTTTATCCCATACTCATCCCATCCACTTTTTATTGAAACGCAGTCATCACCAGAAACAATGTAGCAGTCTTCAATCCTAACATTTGTACATGAATCTGTGAAGAAAACGAAAAATGACATCAGAATAATCGAACCATGTTGTCAACTGATTATATGATAAAGCCTGGACAGAAACATGTTACCTGGATCTATCCCATCTGTGTTGGGAGAGTTTATTGGAGCATTGATGGTAAGTCCTTGCATTATTATGTTACTGAGAATGTACAAAAAGCCTTGTGAACATAGTAGCAAAACAAGAATGCAGAAAACAACAAAATTTTAAGAAAAAAGGGTTATCTGATAACCTGCTGTAAACTGGATGGATAAAATAGGATGGAGAGTTGAGTAAAGTGAGAGATGATATCTGGATTTGATCAGAGTACATGAGCTCAATCATGTATGGCCTGGTCAGATTCAACTTTTTGTTATGGAACTTCTTCCACCAATAAGCTCCTTGTCCATCAATGCTACCATTTTGACCTAAACACCAAATTTAAATTGCTCAGATTGATGAATGACTTCGCCAGATTTAAATAAACTAACAATTTTACAATTGTGTTTTCTAATGAAATGAAATAGATAGATACCTGTAATTACAACATCAGTGAGGTTGGTTCCAAAAATTAGACTGCCAAACCTTCCATGAGGAGCATCTCTCCCTCTTCCATAAGAAGGTAACACAGGAAGATGAGGCCATTCCGATTCATTCTATCAATGTAATAATGGAACTCAACTTTAATTACATTATAAAAAAAGCAATATGTTCAACAATAACAAATTAAAAATCACAAAATATTGTTGTCAACTGCTATTTAACTAAGTCTTATCCTGTGTACGAAGTAAATTAAAGAAATATGAGGAAATCATACACCAAAATAACAAAAAAAAATGTTAAAACACATTCCAATAAAATGTTAAAAATAACTTATGTATTTTAATCCAAAACTAATTTATTTTAATTATCTCGGTTTCAAATGAATACAGTTTAAAATTTGTTTCAGGCTAATAAAAATGAAAATGTTATTTTTAAAATTATTTTATTAAAATATCTTCCTACCGTAGATAAATGCATTACTTATATGAAAAGAGAACAAAAGAGATGTTTGTACTTATAAGTATATTTATTTTTTTAAAAAAATAACCAATTATATTTTTATTTTCATAAGCGAATTCGATATATTTCTTAAATAAGTGGCTGTTTTAAAAATTACTTATTTTAAATTTAAATGAAAAATCGATTTGAAAACAAATTATAAATAAAAGACATTAACATGGCTGAAATGAAATGTTAAAATTAGGCAATAAATGCATGACTTTTCGTGAAACAAAAATATATTTATTACAAAGTAAGAATGAAAAAAAAGGATTTTTTTTCACCCAAATTTGGATTTGAAATTTATCCAAATAATATATTGTGTCAAAAATTCATGTAGTTGCACAATTTTTTTCTAGATTAGAAATTGGTTTCTGGAAAATTGAATTATGAATTCTGTTATTTTTTGCAATGAATCTCTTCCTCTTTTTGTTTAAAAGAAAGAGAAATAAGAATTAATTATTATCATAAATATAGGGATAAAAAATAAAGTCAAAAATAAAAATCTAACTCAAAATTCAATTTCTCGAAAATGAAAGAAAGAAAAAACGTGTAATTTATGTAAAGATTTATGGTGGAAATCTTGGGTGGTATTTGGTGAAAGAAATGGTTAGAAGGTATACCTGAGAGGCAAGAATAAGAGCTTTGTTGTGAAGAAAAAGAGTGAAATGGCTTGTGAGATTAAAGGGTCCCGTTAGCCATTTTCCCGGTGGCACTATGAGTTGTGCACCGCCGTCAGATGCATAGTGACTGAGATTGTTTATTGCATTTCGAAAGGCTTTGGTATTCGATGTAACGCCATCACCAACTCCACCAAAATCTGTCAAAACTGCACTGTGCTTTCTGCAATTAATGGCTGTGTATTCAATTCCCCCATTCGCCGCCTTGCATTCTGCAACCTTTACTTTTTCTGATCCCAATATCAGAATTACGGAGATCACACCAATCACCTGCACACAATAACATTTCACTCATCACAAAATCATCAACCAAAGCCCTCCAAACATGACTCAGACCACACTACAAAAAATAAAATGTATGTGAAAAATACACCAACCAAAATCAAAATCCAAAATGAATGTGTAACATGAGAAAAACTATAAATACAAGAAAACAAAATTACAATGGAATTCCCAAGTCGTGGACACATCTTTCTTCTTTGAGATGTGGCACAGTAGGTAAACAAGAGAAGAGACGTCTATATATATATATATATACATAACTTAAGAGGTGGACCTCAATCCACTTTACAAATTGTAAGGTAAATTGTTTATCTATTATAAATTAATCATATTTTTAGTTTATACAGAATTTTAATATATATATATATATATATATATATATATATCAAGGTAAGATTAGACATTAATTGATGATTTAATATCAGTTTAATAAATGGTAAAAAAATAAACAATTAATTTTGTTAAGATAGATTTTGTACGATTATTTTGGTCAATCAAGAACCAGATCGACTATCCAACAACGAGATGATCGATAAGTCCAAAATAGTAATTAATTGATAATTAATATGAGCAATAACACTTATGAATAATTAATAAAAATAATAGTCATTGATTGAAAATTAATAGGAATAATAAAAATCATTTATTGGTAATTAATTAGTCAAACCTAGCAAGCTAATTATAGTATTTATAAATATATGTCTGAATGAAACTCTTATTACTAAATCTTTGTTACAATATGATTATGCAAAGTGGCTTACTTAAGTGTTCGAGTACCTTTAAGGTACCTTCTCACATAGCTTGGACAAAAAAGAAAGAGACCAAACAACATAACTTGGATGGTGGAGGACCCTCAGACAACTTTACCCTTTGTTCACTTAAATGAATTTGGGAAAGAGTGATTGAATGGATTTGAGAGAATTTGAACATAATTTTTTTTGTTTATTTGAGTGAATTTAGAAGTAAGTGAGAGTGAATTTGGAAGCAACGTTTGTAGGAATTAGTGTAGGATTTGATTGATTTGGCAGATTAAAAAAATTTACTTCCAAATCCACTCTCACTTACCTTTACATTTACTCAAATAAGCAACAAAACAATTTATCTTCAAATCTTCTCAAATTCACTCAATCACTCTCTTCCAAATCCATTCAAGTAAACAAATGATAAGTGCTTTGAGTAAGATATTAGAACACATGTCCTAAACAAATTCTAATACATGATATTATTGTAATGTAAAGCTTTTGTTCCTACTTCTAAAAATTGACCACATATCCCTAATTCATATAAAACTTTAAAATATATGAAGAATTATCAACAATTTAATTTTTTTTAAGTTTTTTTTATTCATACGTGTTTCCAAAACATAATAATCTATCATATTTTTAATATTTTAAAAGATATGTACAAAATATAATAACAAAATAAATTTGACATTTTAAAATATGTATAACGTTTCTTCAAAATATACTGACGAGCAATGTTTATAAAATATATCTCTAACATGTCTTTAAAATGTTTTAATATACAATAATTTTGATATTTTAAAATATATTAAAAAATTAATATACCCAAATTGGTATAACAGATAAACAACCAAATAATCAGAAATAAATTTGGTCTCTTTTATTGATGATAAATACATTTATGAAACAATAAATTTAAATCTTAAACACTAAAATGCACCCCGGCCGTGAAATAGTAATAATCTTTTGATCAACATATTTGTGAAACAATGGTATTTTAATATTTTAAAATAGTTAATAAGCCTAATAAATATTTAATGAACTTAAGTATATTCAGTAAAGTATTAAATATGGTACATTAATAATATCATTTATTGTATAAATATTAATAGGGTTAAATATATTTTAAGTCATGTTACTATCAAGCGATTTTGGTTTTAGTCTCTCTTTCGAAATAAGGTACATTTTAGTCCTCCTCCTTAAAAAAACTTTGACTTTAGTCATCCAAAACTAACACCGTTAAAAATCAGCTGATGTGGCTAACGGTAGACTGACACGATTTTTTTTTTGCGCTGACTCAGTGTTTTTCACCTTTTTTTGCGATGGGGAGGTTGGGTGGAAGATGGAAGGAAGAGACGAGGGAGAGAGAGGGAGAAAAGGTGAGAAACACTGACTAAGCACAAGAAAAAAAAATCGTCTCAATTTACCGTTAGCCACATCAGCTGGTTTTTAACAATGTTAATTTTGGAGGACTAAAATCAAAGTTTCGTTAAGGAGGAGCAGTTTACCGTTAGCCACATCAGTTGGTTCTTAACAATGTTAATTTTGGAGGACTAAAATCAAAGTTTCGTTAAGGAGGAGTAGTAAAATGTACCTTACTTTGAAAGAGGGACTAAAACCAAAGATAGTACAGAGACTACAAACATATTTAACCCATATTAATAATATAAGATCATCTTCATTACAAAAATGATGATGTAAAATCTTATTTACTTATAAAGTATTTCATTATCTCACATCATTCTTAAAAAAATTAATACAAAAAATAAAAAATAAAAGAATCACATTTTAGTTAATTTTATTTGGTTGTTCATGTTTTTTTAATATATTTTTCATTCTTATGATTCAATACTTTAATTAATATTAAGGTCTTAAATTTTATGACATATAAAAAATATTTTATTGAGAAGGTTTTGGAAATCTTCATTGCATATGTCTTGTGTGTGAGTTTTGCAATGAGGATCCTACCGAAATATGCTAACATGACATAAAATTCAAAATCTTAGATCTTTAAAACATGTATTTTAACAATAATCGAGCAAAACATTTATTAAAATGTAAGACTTGTAAGATATGCGCATTTGAATAAAAGTTACAAAATTACCTATGATCCTTGTATGGACATGACCTTAAAAAACTTAGGTCTTAAATTTATAACCATTGCAGTGAAAATATCGTGACACTTAATATAATTATTCTTTTCTTTCAACTAACGTGGGATTTAGGTGTATAATTTTTTGAAATCGTTACTTTTAATTAGTGTGAACAAAATGGTATGGAGAAAGTATTTTGATAAATATATAACAATTATATAATATTAATTACTATGTCATATTTAATATATATGTTTACGGTTAAGTTACTAATAAATAAGTCTAATGTTATACTTACCAGTCTGAGTGACATATAATAACTAATGTAACTCCTAATTAATTAATGAATGGTCGTTACCATCAAGTTAACAAATTTATTACAAATTAATGTAACAAGACAATTCTTTCTATTGGACAACATTCCAATTCAAAAAATGTTGCTATTTAATTGTTAATTTGACCTATCCATATAATTATTATATTAGGAAATAATTGATATGAGGACATAATTAAGATAAATATATGTATATATATATACACATACATACATGTATGTATATATGTATATATATATACATACATACATGTATGTATATATATATACATACATATATACATGTATATATATATATATATGTATATATATATATATGTATATATATATATATATATATATATATATATATATATATATGTATACATATATATGTATATATATATATATATATATATTTTTTTTTTTTTTGTGTACGTTCGTTTTTCAGTTGGTACATTTTAACAATGTGTACTGGGTTTTAATAGACAAAAATATCCTAATATATCATGAATTTTAAGTTATAAGGTTAAGCGTATTTTAATAATTTTTATTCTCAAAACTAAAAAAAAAAAACTTCCAAATCTTTGCTCACCTCTCTCGTTTCTTTCAACCCTTTCTCTTTCATCTTTCTCACTCCAACATTTTCTCTGTCATTCCTATATGTTAGTCCCAATTGAAAAAATTCAGAAACACTCGTCTAACCCTAATTTATCTTCCTCACTTATCCAATTTGTTTCTCTCTCATCTCCATACTTTTCCTCACTCACACCCAACTCACACCCAACAACCCGCGACACCGCAATTTGTTGCTCTTGACAGAGATGAAAGAAAAATGATTATTATTAGCGTAAGATACAGAGAAAATGTTGAAGTGAAAGATGAAAGAAAAAGGGTTGAGAAAAATGACGGAGGTGAGCAAGGGTTTGGAGGTTTCCTTTTTTTTAGTTTTGAGAATGAAAATTATTAAAATACCTTTAACATTATAACTTAGAATCCATGATATATTAGTGTATTTTTATCTACTAAAACTCGGTAGACATTGTTAAAATATACCAACTAAAAAACAAGTGTATGTAAGTTAGCAAATCCTATATATATATATATATATATATATATTAATTAGGTTTTATTTTAATTGAAACTTATTTAGTAAAAAAGTATAGAATGCAATAGAAAATATTTTTAATTTTTAATTAGGTTTAAATTTTGATTGAGTGGTCTTGTGATTAACAACACATATAAGGTGATAAAAAATTTAATTGCATTTTAATTAAGTTTTATTTTAACTAAATCCATTCACCTAAAACTGAACAATGTTGCAACGAACAATTTAGAAGAAACAACAATTCACAAAATTTTCCAATTTTGTTCAATGATTTATTGATTTTACTATGTCATAATCATACATGGGATCGGAATAAGAAGAAAAATGATTTTTTGATACACCTACATTTTTTACAGTCATTTGATACTACCCTTACTTACATTTTACTCTCTTCTTTCTTGAAAAAATACAAAAATTTACATTTTTATGACCATTTTATTCTTAAACTCTATATCAAATGAATGTAAAAGTGTGTGATAGTGCCATTATTCGAATAAGAAATATCACATAAAATCATAAGATTTTACACTTTAAATCTTCATTTTAACTATAACATGAAACACATAATAATAAAAATTTAAAATATAAATGAAACTTTTATAAATAAGTTTCAAATAGAAAAACTCCTTAAAACTATTTCCTTTTTCTATAAATATCTCACTAACCGTTATTTTTTTAAGATTAGAAATAATTCATATTAATATTTTTGTCATCTCATCAGTTTAAACCGAACATATGATGATGAAATGTTTTGTTTTCTCATTTTAAAATTTGGTTTAACGTTATTCATTATTTTTAATTCCACCGAAAATTATAGAAAATTTAAAATCAATGATACACTAAACGCGTAATATAAATATACATAAAATTATAAAATTGTTTTATCTATTGAATGTGATTAAATCAGAAAAAATGTATATAATTTACTCACTTAGTGTCTCCAAATAATTAGTGCATAAAACCTAAAATAATGATCATGGCCGGTGGATGATTGTTATAATTAACCTTTTATTTATATATAAATATATATTTTGTTAATTTTTAAAATGTACCATGGACAAAAATACGAATTCTAAATTTTAAAATAAAGAGTATTTGAATAATTTTTTTATTTTTTTATTTTAAATTAAAAATAAAAATTATTAAAATATTTCTATATTTAAAATATGTTTTTCTATAAACAAGGATATTTTTATCGACTAGGATTTAATACACTTAAGTTAATAAATTTATATATGTATATATTTATATTTCTCGAAATAAATACATAGGAGTGATAGATAATAAAACAAACAACAATGGCTTTGATGCAATTAAGAGAAGTGTCGTTTGTAAGAGGTTTAAAGAAGTTCCGAGAGCTATAGTTGTTCCACGCAGGTTATTTGTACTATTATGAACCAACCACCACTATCTCCTTCCTTCTCTTAACCTCAAAATTGTGGTCTATATCAAACCAACCTCCTCCTCTGAACCTTTACTTCACAATCACCCAAACCTCTCTCTGTCTCACTCTCTCTCTCTCTCTCTCTCACACACACACACACACACACATTCAAAAACCACACACTCTTTCCCTCTTCCTACCAACCTTCCATGGCGGCAGGACTCTCCACCGCCGCGAACTTAAAGCCCTACAGTCTGCTCCAACCTCCAATTTCTCTCCCTAAACCAAACCAATCACTTTTCTTCCACCCCTTAAAACCTTTCCATCGAAGCACAATCCTTCGGCTAAGACCCCCCCGAAGAACGAGTGGCTTCTCCGTTTGTGTCCTCATGGAGGATCCCAAACGGAACCTCCAGATCAAAACCAACGAAGAAGAAGAACAAGAAGTGAATCCTGGATCTGTGTCTGCAGGAGTGGAAGAGAAATTGGCCAGAAAGAGGTCCCAGAGGTTCACTTACCTCGTGGCGGCTGTTATGTCTAGCTTTGGCATCACCTCCATGGCAGTCTTCGCCGTTTATTATAGATTCTCCTGGCAAATGGAGGTACGTACAAAGCTGTTCAAGTTCTAATTTTGCTGTCTCTGTTTGTGCTAGTTTTTGAATCTGAATATTGGGTTGTGTTGGCGTAGGGTGGAGATTTTCCTTGGTCTGAAATGTTAGGCACATTTTCCCTCTCCGTTGGAGCTGCCGTAAGTCCCACCCCTTTACCAATATCCAATTGGGTAATTCAATTCTATACGTTGAAATCAATTGGGTGTGTCTAATTTTCAGGTGGCGATGGAATTTTGGGCAAGATGGGCTCATAGAGCACTTTGGCATGCTTCCTTGTGGCACATGCATGAGGTTTACTTGCTTCCAACAATTCTTCAAATATTTAATTTGCTTTCATTAAATTAATCACAAGAAAATGAAAGTTCGTGTTCTTGAAGGGCTAGTTCTTAGCTTCTTATTGAATCAAAGATGAACTGGAATTGTTACCTTGCAGTCGCACCATCGACCAAGAGAGGGACCATTCGAGCTTAACGATGTTTTTGCAATTGTTAACGCTGTTCCTGCGATCGCTCTTCTCTCATACGGTTTTTTCCACAAGGGTCTGGTCCCTGGCCTCTGCTTCGGTGCAGTAAGTGTATCTTGCGCAATCTTATTTTTTAATCCCTTTATTAACTGTTTCATTGGGATCCGTTAATTAAGAATGATAATTAATTTGACGGTAATACCCCTGAAAACTTTGAATAATTGCCTTGTGTGCTGGAGCAGGGCCTTGGAATCACGGTGTTCGGGATGGCCTACATGTTTGTCCACGATGGACTGGTTCATAAGAGATTCCCAGTGGGCCCCATTGCCAACGTGCCCTACTTCAGAAGAGTTGCTGCTGCTCACCAAGTAATAATTTTTTTTTTTTCATTTCAGTCAAAATTAATATACGTCACATTTATTTATTTATTTAAACGAAAAGGGCAATGTTATGTTTGTTGGTTATGGAATAGTATCTCAATTCAATCTGATGATTTTGAATTTTTGTTGTCTGTATTGTCAGCTCCACCATACAGACAAATTCAACGGTGTGCCATATGGGCTGTTTTTGGGACCAAGGGTGAGCCACGTTCCTCTTCTGTTCTCTATTTTCTTTATTTTATTTAACTAGGTTCTTAGACCCCACAAGAGAAAGACTTTTAGATGTTTAACTCGTGAAATTGAATCTTTTATAGATTTTTATGGTTTCAATAAGTTTATAAATAAATCTCTATTATATATTATTTGCAAGATTTGACACAAATCCTTATAAGATTGTATTCTTGCTTGTTAAGCAGAGTAAGAACATGTTAAAAAATCTGCTCTAACTATTGACCATTTGTTTCGTAAGCAACACACTTTTTATGTTTATTTTTTGGTTGAGTAACATGCAATGATATTTGGTACAGGAACTTGAAGAAGTGGGAGGGGTTGAAGAGCTAGAGAAAGAGATAAGTAGGAGAATAAGATCGGGTTCATGACCATGCCACACTTATATTTCAACTAGAGTTGTTTGAAATATTTGAGTGTAGATAAAGAGAAACAGTACAACTAATGAATCAATATTCCATTTTTGTTCTCTTACACACCTATTCATATTATAGCATAACACATAACAAAAATAGGTTACAAATTCATAGATACACAAAAATAACATGTATGTGCCATCTTTTTCAATCATACTTTTCCACGCTGAACGAATCTATGTTTGCATCGTTCTATTCAGAAAGCTGTTATGGAGGACGCAGAGAATAGCACCGCCATTTACATGCTCTTTCGAATTTATCTTTTGCCGACTTTGTGACCATACCGGTGATTCTCTTTGACAGGGAACATTCTCGGTTGCTTCCTGTCTACGTAATGGATAACCTAAATCCATGCTATTCGGATTTTTTTATTTAAATTTGTTTCTTAAAAATGAATTTGGGAATAGAGTATTTATCCATAAATTTAAATGGAGGTGGATAGAAATATGAGGACTATAGTATTCAATCTATACTCACTATCTATTTACTAATTTCACTAAAATATTTGTTAAATATAATGGTTATTGTTTCATTAATGATTAATTTAAGATCAAAACATATTACTGATTATTGAAGTTTAAGAAACAATTTTAGAGAAAATAGGTTAAACAAGTTTAAGTAAATTAAAACAAATAATTTGGTGTAAAATGAATAATCTAGTTAAAGCATTAAGGGTAAAAACGGAAATAACAATATATATTGCAAGCAATAAGGTTTAACGTTATTTCAAATAGAATGAAAAAACTACAAGTTATATTGAACAAGTTTTTTACCCAACATTATTCATTTTATTTTGATTAAACGAGCGAACAAACCTAATGAAATAAATTTTGTAAATGAAGTAAAATTATTTGTGAAAATATTATATATATATATATATATATATATATATATATATTTATAATCAAATCAATTACCATGGGAAATAAAATTTTAATAAATATTGTTTTTTAAATAAATCTGTAATTATTGATTAATTATGTATTATTCACTTAGCAAAGTTGAATCTCATTATGTATAAAAACACATTGGTTGATCGGATCAATAATAGTTACTTAAATAGGACCATAATCAGTGTCTAATTTCGTATAATGAAACTTTTCATCAAAGATTAAAAATATTGTTTTATCGTTATAATACATATTATGATTTTTTTTTATCTTTTAAAGTAAACAATATGCATCAGAATGAGCGGTCCACGAAATTTAAAATACAAATACATATACTTTTTTTGAATTTTAATATATTTAATACTTTTAATTTTATTTTTACAGTTATTAAAAAAAGTTCTTACACCCTTATAAAATATGTCGGCAAGATCCTCTGTGATCAATTAGGATGGATTTAGGCTACGAACTGGACTTGACCTCCAGTTCCTTCGTGGCTATATATACCATAGCATAGAATTTATTTAATTATGGGGCATGCTGATTTCATTTATCAAATTAATAGAAACCAAGACGATAAAAAAAAATGTTAATCATGTTACGTACCTAATAAACTGAAGTTAGAATTGACAAAAAGTTGGTGCAAGCACATGATAATGTTATAAGTATGAGATTCACGAGAAACACGTAAACAATGTTTTTGCTTTTTATAATACCGAGACATGAAATCATTTTTTGTCTTCATTTATTTAAACTCTGACCATGTATTTTGATAGGATAGGTGGTATGAGATATATATATTCTTGAATTTTCCGTTTATCTTTAATAAAAAATTATATTTAGTAAAAAATAATCAATCTTTTATATAAAAAATAGATATTTAAATGATCATAAAATCATAGTCTCGCCCTTATTTTAAAAAATATGAAATTAATAATTATTTTTATAATTATATTTTTTAATTATGTAAATTTTTGTAATGTAAAAGAGATCACAGCCCAATTGATTGTGAATAACTCAATTCTAATTGTTCTTATCCTTGGAATTAAAAAAACACAAGAAATGGAGGGTGAAAAACAAATTGTGGTGTTGTGGAGGATTATTATAGCCTTATCGATTGTGCTTTTTGCTAGCACATCACCGTTTTTGCTTTGTCTATTTGTTTCTATCATAATCTTCGATACGTGTAAAACATATATGCTGCTTGCTTTCATCACTACACCAATACCCAATTCTCAACCTAAGTGGTTCCTGCACTTCATCACCTTTATAAATAGTCCCACATCGTATTGGACCACCTTTCACTTTTTCTTTGCGTCAAATTTCTCATTCATTTGAATGTGTAAATCTTATCACTCTTAAACTGCAAATCATTCTTATGCTTCGATCTCATTTCATTAAATTTTTAACTTACTCGTGCATCTTTGGCTGTCTAAACGCGCTTGTTTAGTTTATCTTATCTTGCTAACTACCAAAGTTGGAACAAAATTGACTGAGCTAACACCACTGATTGAGTTACTAGATTGATTGATGTTGATAATAAATGCAGAAACGATTAAAAGATTATCTCTAAGGACCAAGGGCCAATATTTGAATTCAAAGACGTCAAAGAAAAAAAAATTATATCCTTAATATGATTTGTGTGAAACTTATATTGGGATCAGTTTAAAAGAAATATATAGTTGGGAATTCTAAGTATTACATAAGACTATGGTGAAAAAAGTGAAAATATTTAACGCTTTATAATAATGATAATAAACATACTTGTTTGAATATTGTTGTATAATTTCAATAACAACTTAAAGAAACCACCAAATAATCAGAAAAATATGTGTAAAAATACTCCACGTAAAAAACAACCATATTAGTTTTCGTCTTTCTCACTACTATCCAAGAACCTGGATGAAATATAATTCTTACTACATCTACAAATATCAAATCATGGCAAAACAAGTGATTAGGATGACAGAAATAATATTTTTATATATACGAGTTTTTTATATTTATTTGATATTATTTTTAAAAGAAAAAATATATAAAATTTTACTTTTTATAATTATTTTATCTTTATAATATATATATCAAATAAATGTAAATATATCTCACCTTATCATTATCCTATAATAATGTATGTCTGTATTCATATTTTTTTAAACATAGGTGGTATGAGATCATTTTCTAATTGAATTTATTGCATATGCTTTTTTTGTTCCTATTATATTTCAT